TTTTCTCCTGCTAACCTGTCTTGTTGATTATTTGGCCAGCCATAAGAACCTTAAGGAAAAGGGCAGAGGGTGATTCTTCCTCTTCCCCCAACAGTAACAAAGATTGTCTGGGTGTGGTATCAACTCCTAGTCTCCTCTCCTGTGATAGTCAGTGTTCCCTGGTTGATGAAACTCCTGGGAAGGAGATTTATGACGATCGAGTTACTTTTGCAGATTCTGTCTTTAGGCAGATTGGGGGAGTTCAGAGAAAGCCTCTTTCTGCATTTGCTGTTCTTCAAGTGCCTCCAGCTCAAAATAATCAATATGCCAAAGGGGCATATTTTGGGGTGGCGTATTCTGCTACCCTTCATAAGGAATGGCTCAGACAAAGGGTGAAGCCAAAGGTCTGAGGAAATGAGGGGCAAAGACTGGTCTAAGGAATGGGGAAGCACCCAGAGTGAGAGGACTGGCAGAGGTGAACAGGAGGCCGGGGAGGAGAAGGTCCCCAGGGCAGAGCCAGAGACGCCTTTACGGAGGCCTGTGGAGGTGTGGGGAAGTGGGGAGGCTGCCGAGGCTCGCCCGTCTCGTGGAGTGGGCCAAGAATGCAAAGCCCCAGCTGCTCTTCCCTTGGCCCGTTTCCCAGGGTGGTGTTTGCAGTCTGAGAGATGAGGTAATGTCTCCCTCGGGGCCAAGGAGCAGGCTTGCTCACTGCTTGCTATAAAATGCCATGGTCCCCAAGCTCGGGGTTCCTCTCTGGTCGTGCAGACTCCTTCGTGTGCGGGTGTCCATCTGGGTCCACCACGTCACCCTGTGGGATTCGGGAGGGAAGAGAACTGACACAAACATGCTGCTTGCCGGGCCATGAGTCATCAAGTCCTGTCTTCTGCCAGCATCCATGGAACAGTAAAGGCTTACTTGTTAGCTTCAAAGGAGGGTAAAATTGAATGCCAGCCCTGCCTGCACAGTGAGATGTGAAGGAAAGAGCAGCCACATATGCACCAGCCGGGAGATGGTCCGAGGAAGGGGTGGAATCATGCGAAGGCCATGCTTACTTATGAGCCCGGACACTTGAACTGACGATGAGCAGAACCTTGGAGGGTTTAAGTCAGTAGTCTGGGGTTTAGAAAGAGCTCTCTGGCTTCTGGGTGGACAATGGTCAATGGGGTAAATGGTGAGAGGTATGAAGGACATGGATGGGCATCGGAGGTCATGCAAGCTCCGGCTGGAGACAGAGACGTGGGAATCAGATCACAGAGATGGTCACTAACGTGGGGGAAATGAGATTGTCCAGGAAGACTGTGTGACTGGAAGAGAGAGGGAGTCTTGGCCCAATCCCAGAGAAAAGCAGGAGGCAGCAGGAGGGGTGTCAAAGGCAGGACAGGGGGTTGAAGTGGCTGGCCCCGCTGAGTGGACCCTGAGACAGGTGGCCGTGGGGTGGGGATGAGAAAGGGCCAGTATCAGAGAGTGAGGTGCGGGGGCTGCAGCCTCCTGGCCACGGGCAAGGAAAGGTGGCCTAACACTGAGGCTGGGGGCAGAGAAGGAGAGGAAACTGGCCATGGACTTCCTCAAACACCAGCAGGACACCGGGCCTGCGGCACTGCAGTTCCAGCTACAGCTCTCTCCTGGCTGGGCTGTGATGGGGACTGAGGAGGAGGCCAGGGAGGTAGCACACAGTACACCCTGCCCTCAGGAGCTCACAGCAACCCAGAGCTAAGGAAGTGCTGGGGCACCAGGCTGCGAGGTGGGCAAGGAGGAGCCAGGGAAGGCATTGGAGGAGTCGCTGACCATTTAATAAACACGTGCTGAGGGTCCACGGGAGCCAGACCCTGGCGAGGCCCTGGGATAGGGACGGACCTGAAGCAGTATTTGCCACGAACAAGAGTCAGGCAGGCAAGGAAGTGGCGGGAAGGCAGTGAGGCCGTGGTGGTTGAGACTCTCCTGGGCAGGGAGCAGGAGCATGGCCTGGAAGAGTCCAGGCCCAGCCGGGCTCGCTGTCCAGCTGGAACAGGGGCAGCTCTGAGAGAGAACGCAGAAAGGAGCCTGGGCCAGTTTGCAGGTGAAGCCTGCGCCCATCAGATATGTAACTTGGGCTTAACTGAAAGGTGTAGGGAGCCACTGAATGCCTTGAAGGAGGGAGGTGAGGAAAAAAACAACTATTAAGCATCTACCAGGTGCCAGGCCCTCACTAGGCGCTTTCTGTGCCAACGTTTCTCAAACTCAACTTGCTTACCAATCTCATAAGAATTTCATTAAAATGCAGAGTGGAATTCAGTAGGTCTAGGGCAGGACCTGAGGTGCTGCATTTCTAATGAGCCCTCAACTGGGACCACACTTCGAGGAGAGAAGCTGTAGCTCATTTCGTCTGCCCCTCAATGCTGTCCAGTAAGTGTGATGGGCAGGAAAACTGAGTCTCAGTGGGCTTCCCCGACCTGCCTGAAGGCACGCCATTGAAGGGAGCTGCCGCTGTTCCCTGCCCTCCACCCATGTGGGGGTAAATAACACAGCCCCCAAATCATCCCTCCCTCCAACCCCCTCTGGGTCTGCCCCAGGCTCGGGTCTTCCAGGTTTGTGAATACAGACCCTCCTGTCATCAGCTGGCCTCCAGCCTGGAGCTTCTGAGTTTGCCAGCAGCAGCATCTAAAGTTAGTCTACCTCACAGGAAACCAGATACTATTGGCTAACTCTGCAAATAAAGATGCCCTCAGAAGGAGAGAAAGGGAAATACTCTCTGGTAGAGGCTGCGTGGGACAGGGTGGCTGATTGGTGAGTCCAGACGTTCCCTTCCCAGGCCCAGCCCAGGTAGGAGCAGAGGACTCAGCACCTGTGGGCACACTGGGCGGGGCACTGTGGTCAGAGGTCAGAGTGGGTTAACGATGCTGGTGTACTCTACGTGCCAACAAGGGAGACCAGTTTCCTGAGGATGTTGCAGCCTATATGTCCAAGGGGCTTGAGTAGTGGAGGGCAGAGTGTGTTTAGATCATTTATGATACACTCAACGTGATGGAATATGATTAGAAGTGTTAGTAATTTAGGGACATGGAGAAATTCTCATGATTTGACATTAACTAAAAAAAAGCATCATTTAAAATTGCATCTGGATGATATCGAGGAATTATTTTTAATGTTTGAAGATGAGAAACAGTATTGAAGTTATTTTTTTTTAAAGAGTTATTCTCTCAGAGTCTCACACTTAACTTTTTATGGGTGAAACACTATGACATCTGGGTTTATTTTTACTTTTTTTTATGTTTTTTTTTGTGTGTGTGTGTGTGCGTGTGAGGAAGATCAGCACTGGACTAACATCCATGCTAATCCTCCTCTTTTTTGCTGAGAAAGACCGGCTCTGAGCTAACATCTATTGCCAATCCTCCTCCTTTTTTCCCCCAAAGCCCCAGTAGATAGTTGTATGTCATAGTTGCACATCCTTCTAGTTGCTGTATGTGGGACGCTGCCTCAGCACGGCCGGAGAAGCGGTGCATCAGTGCGCGCCCGGGATCCGAACCCAGGCTGCCAGTAGCCGAGCATGTGCACTTAACCGCTAAGCCATAGGGTTGGCCACATGGGTTTATTTTTAAATAATCCAGTAGGACATGAAGTGAGGAACAGATGAAATATTGACCCTGAGTTGCTAATTGTTGAAGCTGGGTGATGGGTGTATGGGCTCGGGTCTTCCCGAGCTTTAAAGCTCTTTGTTTTAATTTATGTTCGAAAATTTTATAATAAAAAGTTTTTAAAATAGCATCTGCCTTTTAAATATAAATATACTTAATATGAATATAAAAATATGCATAAAGATTGGATGGAAAAAAGCTAAAAGCTAGCTGCAGTTGATGCTGGAAAGTTGGATTGTAGATAGTTTTGGGTTTTTTTCCTTTTACTTCCATGCTTTTTTATGCTGTCTACATTTTTTACAAAAAGCACCTATTGCAATTATAATGAAAACTCTTTGAATTAATAAATTGCTGGCACAAATTCAGTGTTCAATTTTGATATATGCTGTTCTAATCACTGTGAGTTTACTCAAGTGCAGAAGGTCTGTGTCGTTGGAAAACACAGCCTTCAGAGAGAAATTATGAGCGGACGCACAACTGGGTGCAAGACAGGAGGAAATACATAGAGGTCCCCAATGAGCACAAGCCATTCCTCATGGCTTGACTTGAACTTGGCCATCACGGCCTCACAGAGTGCTGCAGTCAGCTCTGTAAGTTCACAGCCAGGCCCAGAGAAAGGCCGGGGAGTTTTAGTATCTCCCCTCCCCCCAGAAAAGGTTCTTTTCCCTTTTCAAATACTTGAGATAGAAAATTTGTGGTAGAAAAGAACTTGAACTAGAAGGAAAGAAGATTGGACCGTGTGAGAAGCAGGCAAGAAAACTTTCCAGGTAAGCCGGGACTCCCAGGGTCTGCTCGGGGGACAGGTCATCCCTGCCCAGGGGCGCTTGGCAGGGGCCTGGGCTTTGTGAGATGAAGCAGGTGGCACCTGGGCCACTGATCCTTGGGGACCGCTGTGTGTGTGTGTGTGTATGTGTGTGTGTGTGTGGCCAGGGTGGATTCACATCCTTTGCCTTCCTCTTGGCTTGGCTTTATTTTCACACAGGGAAGCAGGGCAGGAAATAGTCTTAGCCCAAATTCGTTCTGATCCCTTTTAGCTCTCAGACTGACCTGGCTCTCACCCACACCCTTGGGAAGGGAGCACCGGACGATGTGTCAGCCACATGCCAGCCATACCCCAGTCCTGCTGACAGCTGTCACTCTCCCCCCCTCACAGATGGGGTGGGGGAGATTGCTTGACTTTGGAACGAAGCCCTGGCTCTGTGCTTGACCTTGCTATAAACCTCAAGTCCTGCTTCTAACGTGGAAATTGGCCATGAGTTGATAATCACTGAACCTGGGTGACAGGAACACACTAAGTTTCTGGGATGATTCAGGGCATGGTATGGAAAGTTCCAAGCACACTGCTTGGCCCATATTTGGTGCTCAAGAAACAATTTACGTTGTTATGGGAAACTAAGGCTCAGAAAATTTGTGCACCTTAAGATCATTGAGTACTTTCAAATGAGGTTGTGAGGAGCAGGAGAGGAAGAGACGTGCCACAGCTGACCCAGTCCAGGACCAACGTCCACTCCCTTCCCCACCTCCTATCCTGGCCAGACTGCAGAAGGGCAGCAATGTCAGAGACCCTGGCCTCAAAGAACCTCCTTCCCGGGATCTGAGACATTCAGCTGCCCCCTAACCAGCACGACCTCTGACCTGGACAGAGTCAGCGGCTGCCCCTGTTTTAATCAGGCTCAAACTTTTCCCCCTTGAAGATGTTCAGAGCCAGCACCGGCAGCCAGTGAGCTAGCCAGGGAGGGGCGTCCTGCTGTTCCATGACAGGTGACAGCTATGAGGCGGTGGAGCCAGAGTGGCACAAGCCAGGTCTTCGCTGACTTTTCCGAGAACTTGTTCTGATTCCCAGCAGCGCAGTCCAGGGAGTCCAAGGGCTTGAGCTCTCTTGCATCACTCAGTCTGCCCAGGACAGCCAAGGGAAGATTGAGGCTTCCAGCTGAATCCTGATCCTGCCTGCCCTCCTTGAGGGCTCAGAACGTGCTGACTGCCCCGAGGGCTGGAATTCTCATGGTTCTCCAGCCACAGAGGGAGCTTCAACCACCTCATTTTTTTGTCTGGCCAAAGTGCCACTATTTTGGATAGTGAGTCTTGGTAGGGAAGAAAACCTGTATCACATTTCCTCAAATTCCTTCCCAGGTGCTCTTTGTCCTTTTCTTTAAACCTATGTTCCTTGTGAAATATAACACACTCAAAGAACAGTGTGCAGGTTAATAACTTATTGTAAATTGATCTCCCACCTAACCGTCATCCAGGCAGTGGGGGAGCTCCGGGCCAGCCCCCCGCAGCCTCCCTCAGGTCCCTTCCTGGCCATGACCCCCCCCCCGAAGTCACCCCAGTCCTGACTTTTATGGTCGTTGCTTCCTTGCTTGTCCTGATAGTTTTACCGCCTAGATAGGCATCCCTAAACAACATGGATTATCTTTGCCTGTTTCTGGTCTGCATATACATGGATTCACACAGTAGGTCTGCTTTTTGGTCCACATTGTAAAAATGCATCCGTGTTGTAGGAGATAGAGATGCACACACAAAAGTTCTTACGGCAGCGTTGTTCACCGTGGCCCCAAACTGAAAGCTGCCCCAGTGTGCATCAACAGGAGGACAGATGATAATTGTGGAACACCCACACAGTGGAATCCTATATAGCAATGACAGTGAACAGACCCCAGCCACAGCAATAGCACGGATGAGATACTGCCAGAAATGCTGAGATGAATTTACAGATAGACATGAAATTGGTCCATATCCACGTGGCAGTTATCAAATGCACCTCCACTAGACACAATTTCTGCTTCCATGAACAAGAATTATTGCATTGGTGCCAGTCTCCTACAACTTACAGAGCTATAAATTAACTGAGACAATGAAAGGGGGAGATGGCCCCAAAGACCGTGCTAGATAAAACACTCAGTAATTATTTTTTGCCTATTTCAAAGTCTTTTATAATTTTTCCTTATAATTCCTTAGTGGGGAATTGGAGGCCCCTCTGTTTACCCCTCTTCTGCCTTCTCGGTCTTGGCTCTCTCTGCGTCCTTACCTGAGCCCTCCACTCAGACTGAACGGGACTTTCCTGAATGCTCTGGGAACATGTTGACCCCTCCCAACCCCTCCATCCTCACTTCCTTCTGTTTCTAGCATATTCCCTCACACCCTCTCTGCCTGGCCTTGACCCCAGGAGACCTCCCCATGCTCAGACCCTTGATGCCTTTGACTTCAAACCCCTCCTCCCTTCCCACCTCCACCTTTGTCTACCTGGAAGATCCTCCCAGCCTTTAAGACTCAGAGTAA